CCACAGCAATGACTTTCTTGATGCTTTCAAAGCTGCCTTAACAGGGGGCCAGGGCCACAGCAATGTCTTTCTATGGGCCTCAAAGCTGCAGTTTGCCAGCCTGCAAAGGATCCAAACTTCCAAAATTCCAACACCTTCCCCAACATGCACCCTAGGGCCAAGGCCACTTCCCCAACAGGCACCCCAGGGCCAGGCCACAGCAATGGCTTTCTATGGGCTTTCAAAGCTGGCTTTCTTAGGCTTTCAAAGCTGCCGTTTGCCAGCCCGCAAACCCTCCAAAACTCTCCAAACCCTCCAAACACCTTCCCCAACATGCACCCTAGGGCCAAGGCAACTTCCCCAACAGGCACCCCAGGGCCAGGCCACAGCAATGGCTTTCTATGGGCTTTCAAAGCTGCCGTTTGCCAGCCCGCAAAGGCTCCAATCCCCTCCAAAATTCCAAACCCCCAGGGCCAGGGCCACAGCAATGAGACTTTTTATGGGCTTTCAAAGCTCCCGTTTGCCAGCCCGCAAAGGCTCCAAACTTTCCAAAACAAAATTCCAAACACCTTCCCCAACAGGCACCCCAGGGCCAAGGCCACTTCCCCAACAGGCACCCCAGGGCCAGGCCACAGCAATGCTTTCTATGGGCTTTCAAAGCTGCCGTTTGCCAGCCCGCAAACCCTCCAATCCCCTCCAAAATTCCAAACCCCCAGGGCCAGGGCCACAGCAATGAGACTTTTTATGGGCTTTCAAAGCTACCCTTTGCCAGCCCGCAAACCCTCCAAAACTCTCCAAACGCTCCAAACCCTCCAAAACCCGCCAAACCCTCCAAACACCGTCCCTAGCAGGCACCCCAGATCCACAGCAATGACTTCGAATCACTTACCATCCGTGCATGGGATGATCCTCCAGGCTTAACCAAAAAAAAACTGGAACACTGGCCCATTGAAATTGTTTTTTTCTTATTAATTCATGGTGATGTTCCACATCGATGTTACTTTGCCCCACCACTGCGGCACCTTTTAGCTGCACGTGGTGCCGTGTCTCAGTTGGAACCCTCTTCGAGGGCGGCCCGTTTTGGGCACGAGGAGAGCATATCTGGATGGCAACAACCGAGTGTTTTGAAAAATCAAACTGTTAAAAAAATGGTAGTTGATTGGGTACTTATATTTAATATATATATAGATACATGTGGGTATTGATTGGGATTGGTATGTAATGATGTCATGATGGTCATGATGGTGTTATTACATAACCAACCAAAATTAAGCGGAAGGTGAGTATTGTACCTCAGAATTAGCACTCTAAGCGTGCTGCTGGACACACCACGTCGCTGATTTATGCCAATCCTATATTGTCTTCTGCGGGAGGGGCAGAAACAGGCCTCTAATTTTTGCATGGTGCTTGCTGCAAGTTCAGCTGCCATCATAGTCACATGAAAATCAGGAAACTTCAGCAAAACAGCTACTGTATACATCGGAATTCACATATGTGTATGTATATATATATATATATATTTGTCTATACCAATCAGAAAGACTCACTTTTCTATCAAGCACCATTTCTGCGCATGGCTTCCGGCGTTGGTGTCTAGCTCCGAAACCAAACAAAAACAGAGCATCTTCTGCCAGTGAGAGACCTAAACCTTTTGGTGGATTCTTGTCACCTGGTGGGTCAAGACGATCAATGCATTTCAATGCCACGACTGGAGGATCTCTTAAACCAAATAAACGGAAAACGAACCTGCCATTGACATCCGTCGACCATGGTTGCCTCCATGACTTGACCCACTTTCACTGCGATACAGGGTGCCTATTCAGGTGCCCCAAGCAACTGCGGAATGTATCTATATATCTATACATCTATCATGAATATAGCTGCCAGTCGGCTGCCGCGGCTGAGCCAAAAGGATGCATCGAATGCATCGAATGAGTCTCAACCATCGCGGTGCTTCAGCAATGCTTAGACCAACAGGTTGAAAAAAAGGTGATGACTTGAAACAAAATTCGGTGCCCTCAGCCAGTCTTTGATCCACCCGTGGCTTATTCTACCTAGAAACTCTTTCGGGATTTCTTTTCTGCCGGATGCCAAATTTTCTGCCAAATTTATGCCCGGAAATTTCAGGAATCCTGGAAACTACGCCGGAATCATGTGCAATGAAGCCGGCTGGAAAAAAACATGTATATGTATATCCGCCGACCCCGGTCGACCGCAAGGGGGAGCGCGTTAGGGAAGAGAGGTTGTGGACACCAAGAAATACAACAACGGGTCAGGGATCAGCAGCAGCAGCAAAAGCCTCTGCAGCAGCAGGAGGAAAAGGTAGCCAAAATTCATAGCAGCAGCAAGAGGAAAAAGTAACCAAAATCATCATTTTCTATGCGTTTTCGCTAGGCATTTACGGGGTGCAATTTTGGGGTTTCTCCGTCCTTCACTGCCATGGTGTTTTCCCATCCGGGTACCAGCAGCAGCAGCAGCAGCAAAAGCTTCTGCAGCAGCAGGAGTAGGCAGCAGCAGGCAGCAGCCAGCACCAGCAGCAAAAGCCTCTGCAGCAGCAGGAGTAGGCAGCAGCAGGCAGCAGCCAGCACCAGCAGCCAGCAGCAGGCAGGAAAAAACATGAGGTTACAATGACAGTCCTAAAAACGGAGGGTCCTTGACACTCAAAGTATATATCAATCCATCCGTCTTTCTTCCTATGCCACTATCTATCTATCCAACAATCGATCTATCCATCTGTTTATCCAACTGTCTATCTACCTATCTGTCATCTATCTCTCTCTCTCTCTCTCTCTCCCTCTCTCTCTCTCTCTCTGTCCCTCTATCTATACATCTGTCCAACAATATCTATCCACCTGTTTATCAAGCTGTCTATCTACCTATCTATCAATCTATCTCTCTCTCTCTATCCTTATATATCCATCAATCTACTCGATTCTATTAACAGTCTACCTGTCTGTCGTGTCTGTTATCGTATCTAGCAATCCTCCAGTGCCATACGTTCTCCATCCGTCCAGCCATCCATCCAGCCATGCTCAGCCAAGGCCCCATGCCAGCGAGCAAACCAAGCCTATCGGGCGCCCGTCTCAGCGCCGAAGCATGCCTCCTCGTCGTCTCTCTCTCTCTCTCTCTCTCTCTCCCTCTCCCCCTCCCTCTCTCTCTCTCTCTCTCTCTCTCCACAGTCCCCCCCAAATAAAGGGGGGTCGGCGGCACCTGGGCGCTAGCCCATTCTATAACTTTTGCCCAACAAGGGACCATGATTCCTTTGATGTCGTTCCAACGGCTTTCATATGCGCTCAGGCTTTCGACACCGAAGCCCATGGCTTGAAAGTCCTGTGTGTACTGCTCCTCAGCCACGGAACAGATATGTTACGACTGTTACGAGTTGCATAGAGTTGTAGCGCCAAGAGATCCCAAAAACACACAGGAAATTGAACTCTGTAATGGTCAGAGCGGTTTGTTGAAATCGCAGGTCACGAAGACATACGAAGACGACCTTGTGATATCTTGTGATGGAAATTCACCAAATAGACTTCTACTCTGTTCAAGATTGTGACACGCCAAAATTGAATGGAGTCTGTGCTGTGTGCCCCACGCTGCTCGTTTTCTTTCAGCTGCCCACAGCTCAGTTTGGTTCGGGTGGAAACAATTGGAAACAGGCTTACCAGGCTTACCAGGCTTACCACAGAAATTGCTCTCAAGGATCTACTTGGACCTGGTAGAAGGCGGGGTCGCCAGACAAGATGAATAACTTTGTCCAGCCATTCAGCCCCTTCCTCAGATCAGTCACCACCACGGAAGCTCAGGGAACTCTGACTACCAGCCTTTACCAATGCCCAATGTAATGTCAAATTAAGTAATGCAATGTTCAGCCTTTACTTGTCCACACGAAGTCAATTAAGTCAATGCTCACTTTCAAACAATGCACCGCATGACCCTCGATCCTGCAAGGCTTCGCAAGTTCTGACCGAGCCGCAAGGTTTCGACTGTCGTCAACATCGGTGTCTTGGTGACCGTGCCCATTCGTGCCAGAGCAGGATAGCCCAATGTATCGGAGAAGTCAGGCGATGGACACTCGTAGCTCAAGAAGGGCAAGCGCAAGGATGTGGCCAATGACGAGATGGGACGACACACTCGATCACAGCCTCGAAGCACAACAAAATGTGACGAAACTCTGCTTGTCAAAGAATGTACCGAAGCATGTGATTATATGAGAAATGTACAATGATGCATATATATATATATTATACACAAAATGTTGCACTGTACGCTAATATGGGCAAGAACAATCATCTGGAGATCGGAAATTCGATGTGCTGTGACTTTCCCAGCAATGCTGTGTCTCAATTGCGGTGAGCGGCCCATTCCACCAATACCAACATATGTGTCCTTTTCGGCCATGGCTGAAACAACGATGTCAGAACCCACACTTTCGTCGCACTTGTCATCAAAAATCACGTGCCTCAGAAAACGAAAGGGATTTGCTTGAAGGCTTCATGTGGGAAGGTACACCATCAAATCACAGTGTGTATGAATAGGTGTGAATACATATACACACATATTGTGTATACATATATTATATGTATAGATAACTGTTATATATATATATACACATACATAACATGTATATATATATATATCTATCTATATATGATCATATATGTATATATGTATTTGTACATGTACAATATCTACACACATTTCCCTCTGCATGGCTAGCATGCTCAAGTCTTTAGGCAACAAACATAAGACACACATATTATTATACTTGCAATCTGTGTGTATCTAAGTATGTGGTGATGATGATGATGATGATGATGATGATGATGATGATGATGATGTTTTTATTGTATGATATTGTCATAACACATAGAAACACTTTGATTCTCAAGAGTAACGACAATCTTGAGCGGCCGAAATGCTGTAGTCGATACCCAGGCAAGAGAAGTTGGTCCTGTCTCTGGATTTGTGCAACCGTCGAGCATGCTTCAAGGAGGCATCCAAGACATCCCAAGACAAGGCATGTAAATGGACGTTCATAGATTTAGAAAGGTTGACATGCAGCTTTCTCTGTATAGCTTGGTGCCGTTTGACGTGCCCTGATTGGTTCTCAAAGTTCTCCAACCAAGTGCAACTTAGGTCGCCTTGGTAATTGCCTTGATAACTTTGGTACTTTTGGTTACTGTCTTAAGCTCAATGGCGGTGCTTCCTTGATGCGTTCCTTGATCTCCTCTGCCCTCCTCTGCCCTCTGCCCTCCGTCCTGGTTAATGATGCCCTCTGCCAGGCGTGCTGCAAGCCGGAAGGTCGTCCCCGCAGCCCAGCTCCCGGTCATCGGCCTTGGCGAGAACGACAATATATGACCCTGATAAAAAACTAAAAAGGACTAAAAAGGACTAATTCATGGATTCTATTGAAGTCATATTTTCGCTTTTGGACGATTTTCGTTTAACTCCTACCCATTGCAGAAAGACCTACTCTCTCGTGTACAGACTGACTGCTCCACGAAATGGATGACGTGCTTGACATATGGCAAACTCACCTAGGACATCCTAGGACCTAGTCACTTCTTCACATCTTCACACAGAAAGTCTGAGAGGTGCAATGACAGGCAGAACATGGCGGAACGTGAGGCAAATGAACGACAGATGCAAGGCGGTGCAGCTGCAAATTGTATGATGCTTATGCTGCTTCGCTGCATCGGTGCCAACAGCTCCAATGCCAGCATCGTTGTTGTGCGGGTGGTGGATGAAAAGAACGTCTGAACTTTCTGCATAGCTTCCTGAGTTGGAAGAATCAGTTGCGACTCGTCTTGGTCCTCAAAAAATTCGACCGTAAGGAACAGCTGAATCGGGGTGGAATTGCCGTGATCGAACTCATGGCCATACCAAGCATCCACGGCATCATCTGAGAGCTCAACGATGGATTTCAAGGTTTCTGTTACTGTGGCACCCACGGCAATGTTTTCGACGATAGGCTTCCTCACAAGGCAGTTCGTTTGAGCAGCCAAAGATTAAGTCCACAATCACACACCCACACAAGAAACTCACATACACAATTTGCACTACACAATCACAACGTGCAAAAAGGCATGCACTTTGCAAAATAGCAAGTACTTACATGTTACATATGTACTGCGCGTATCCGTGCATGACAACGCGTTACATCGCATTCCACCCAACCACATCGCACTGCACCATATCGCATCAGATGTGGATGAAGAATACATTGCACGCGTTTGCATTCCAAGGTAATGCTTTACCCAACAAAACCTTGCCCTATCCAAGGATTTGTAAAGAAGGAAGAACACACACACAAAGACACGCACAAAGACACAACATAGAAACACATGAGGCTGGCTGGGCGCCAAGTGCTTCTTCCGGAAGCAATCGGAGTTGTTTGCGCCAAACTTTTGGATCTGCAAACAGTTTGAAGACCTTTGAAGTTTTTTCTATAAAAAATGCCACCAACTGTAACCATATCAGTGTATTATCAGTGTACTCGAATGTTTTCATTCAAATGTCGTGGAACAGTTTCACATGATCTCCCCGGGAAGGGGGCGCGGCTGCTACGTGGTGACGCTCGTGGTGGCCGCGCGGGAATCAACCTGGACACAAATACCTCCCCGGCACTACCTTTGTCGTCAAGAAGTGGTTCTGATTGGGGTTCGACTCCCCTTTATGATGGTCAGCTTGCCTACATTTCTGCAAGGGAGACATGGCTTGGCGCTTTGTCGACCACAGTCTGCGACTGTGGGTGTGGATGTTCGTCGCGTTTGGGCTGCTGATTTCTCCATTGATTTGGAGGTCACCTGGTGGCGCTGGTATCTTCGGCGGCTTGGACATGGCGGATTGCAGTTTTGATTCAATTCAACTGCTGTTTGGACCCTTTGGCTTGAGGAAGCTATTGGTTCTGCAATTTTTGCAGCGGTGGTTGCTGCTGGGGCCTCTTTGGCTTCTGCAATGTGTGTACAGGGGCAGTCCTTTGGCTGCTGAATTCTGGCATGGTTGTTTCATCTTTACCGGTGCACGTGGCCTGCAGGTGCATTTTGCTTCCTGCTCTACCTCTTGAGATGACTCTGCGTCGTTACACTATGGTCCCGTGCCTCTCCATATTTGCGAGTGGGCGTGGAGCAGTTGGTTCATTCTGGCGCTACTGGTGGTTCCCCTTTGCCATAGATTTGCTCCTCACTGGCATTGGGCGGCTGAGTGGTTGTCGGCATGGCCTTTGGCTCTTGCCGTTCACGGTGCGGCGTCTGGTTGGGGGCGCTTGCATCTCACAAAGTTCTTCTTCTTCTTCTTGTTTCACATGATCTCAAGTGGGCTTTATAGATTTCAAACCTTTTCACCACTGAAGACATGACCAAGATACATTGCCGCCCAAGCAGAGTCTGCCACGTCCAGCATTGTAAGACCTTCAAAGCTTTCAGTCCTGGCTGGGAGCTCAATTAGACTCAAAGTGGGTAGAGCATGATGGAATCTGATAAGAAAACGACTATCTATCTATCTATCTGTCTATCTATCTATCTATCAATCTATCAATCTATCAATCTATCAATCTATCAATCAATCAATCAATCTATCAATCTATCAATCTATCAATCAATCTATCAACCTATCAATCTATCAATCTATCAATCTATCAATCTATCAACCTATCTACCTATCTACCTATCTACCTATCTATCTACCTATCTATCTATCTACCTATCTACCTATCTAACTATCTGTCTGTCTATCTATCTATCTACCCATCTACCTACTTATCTATCTATCTATCCATCTATCTATCTATCTACCCATCTACCTACCTATCTATCTATCTATCCATCTATCCATCTATCTATCTATCTAATCTAATCTAATCTATCTATCTATCTAATCTATCTAATCTATCTAATCTATCTAATCTATCTAATCTATCTAATCTATCTAATCTATCTAATCTATAAAATCTATCAAATCTATCAAATCTATCTATCTATTCTAACCAAATCTAATCTATTCTAACCTAATCTATCTAATCTATCTAAGCTATCTAAGCTATCTAATCTATCTGATCTATCTAATCTATCTAAGCTATCTAATCTATCCAATCTATGTAATCAATCAATCAATCAATCTATCTATCTATCTATCTATTCTAACCAAATCTAATCTATTCTAACCTAATCTATCGAATCTATCTAATCTATAAAATCTATCATATCTATCAAATCTATCAAATCTATCTATCTATTCTAACCAAATCTAATCTATTCTAACCTAATCTATCTAATCTATCTAAGCTATCTAATCTATCTGATCTATCTAATCTATCTAAGCTATCTAATCTATCCAATCTATGTAATCAATCAATCAATCAACCTATCTATCTATCTATCTATCTATCCATTGCGATAGACCCAGCGATCCAGCAGCTATCTAGATATATCTAAATCAAGTCTAAGGAGTCTAATCGATCAATCGATCAATGTATCAATCTATCAATCTATCTATCGATCTATCAATCTGTTAATCAATCTATCTATCTATCTATCTATCTATCCATCTTTTCATCTATCTATCTATCTATCCATCTAATTAATCTACACATAACATATCATAACATAATGTATATGTATATGCATACTTAATATGTGTATGTTATAGTCAAAGGACGTTTCGAAGAGAAGCTCCGAGTTGTCGGAAGTGAGCATCATCACATTGTCACAACTTCTCATCATCACTGCTTCACACCATCACCACTTCGCATCATCACCACTTCAAATCAATTCAAATCATCACCGCTTCAAATACTCTCCGCATCACCATCATCACCACCACACTGTCACTACTTTAACAACTTTGCGGGACCTTTTTCCTGGAACTGTTGCATCAAGCTGCGGTTTCAGCGGTCGAACATGTACGAAGCACGGTGCTTTTTTTCGTGTACTGGTGTGGTTGGTGAAAACTAGGGTCGCTTGCGCGGCAGTTGCGGGCATCCTTGGCTTAGCGTCGAAATGGTCTTGAAATGCACGCGCAGCGGAATTGAGGCGTGGTGTATGTACGGCTACATACAGTACTCTCGTGCTATTGTGTTTTTTATCTCATGCAAATGTGCTTGGTTCGCGCATTGGAGCTTCTGCGGCAAAGTGAGTTTGTGATACCATCGTGTCCCGGTGCTATTGTGTTTTGCAGGTCTTTGTAGCATTGCGCAGTGGAACTGCCGCGTCGAAGTGATCGTAGGTTAAGTTTGCGCGCTGGTGCTTTTGTGTTTTGCATTGCTTAGGGCAGCCGGATTGCTGCATCAAGGTAACTGTTGGGCGAGATTTTCTGTTTGCGATGTGTGACCCCTTGGACGTTCTCTCTGTATCTCTCTGTTCCCCACAAGAAAAAAGCGATGCGCTTGCGTTGCCTTCTGTGGGCTAGTTTGTTTGCTTGTATAAGTGCAAAACAAAACCATCTAGGGAAAGCTACACGTCGAAGACCATGTCTCATTGAGAATGACTGTAGCAAAGCAAAAGGAAACACAAGAGAGAACATGACGCCACATGACGTTGACACAGGTGCGAATGCTTTAATTCTAAAGTGTGGCTCGCATGTGGATTTGGTTGATGAGAGTAGAGCGGAGAATGGAGAAGAATACAGGAGGGTAAAGTAAGGAAAAGTAGAGAACAGAAGAGCGGGAAGACCAGAAAAATAGGAAAAGAGTATAAAAGAGTGGAGCAGAGTAGAACAGAGCAAAGGAGGGCACAAAAAAGAATATAGAAGAGTAGAGAAAAAAGAACAGAAGAGCACAAAGCACACAAAGTGACCGGACGATGAACATACCACAATCTGCAACTCTAGAAGGTTTGACTGGATTGAAATAATGACTGCAAGAAAAATACTCTGACAGAACGGATCAACGATCCGATGACTATCGACTATTGATGACTCATCCAGGATGTCCCACAAAAAACACTGAGCCACAGCACGGGATGTATGTTTGCCCTGAAACGGCACCCCAACTCCTATAGGTAAAACCCTGTCTGCATTACTATAGGAAAATATGTTCCTATCGGAACTTCCTCCACTGCCTTGTGCGACTTTTTCATGAGATGTGATGGATTACTTGCTCCGCCATCTGTTTAGTCTGTCCGCGCTCGTTTGCACGCACGCACGCAGGCACGCACGCACGCACGTACGTACCTACCTACCTACCAACCTACCAACCTACCAATCTATCTATCTATCTATCTATCTGTGCCTGTCTGTCTGTCTGTCTATCTGTCTAGCTGTCTATCTGTCTCATCTATTCTACCTATTCTACCTATCTACCTAGCTACCTGTCTATCTATCAATATCACCTGTTTGGCCTATTACCTATCACCGATCTACATTATCTACCTATCGACCGATTACGACACCTATATTACCTGTTACTACCTATCTATCTATCTATCTACATATCTACCTGTCTGCCTACCTACCTACCTATCAATCTATCTACTTATCTGCTTATCTACTTATCTACTTATCTACTTATCTACTTATCTATCTATCTATCTATCTATCTATGTGCCTGTCTGTCTGTCTGTCTATCTGTCTAGCTGTCTATCTGTCCAGCTGTCTATCTGTCTAGCTCTCTATCGGTCTATCTATCTACCTATTTACCTATCTACCTATCTACCTATCTATCTATCTACCTATCTACCTGTCTGCCTATCTACCTATCTACCTATCTACCTATCTACCTATCTACCTATCTACCTTGTCTGCCTACTCTGACCTACCGATTGCAATGGACTCATATTTTCTTTATCGAGCTTATCTACTTATCTACTTATCTACTTATCTACTTATCTACTTATCTATCTATCTATCTATCTATCTGTGCCTGTCTAGCTGTCTATCTGTCCAGCTGTCTATCTGTCCAGCTGTCTATCTGTCTAGCTCTCTATCGGTCTATCTATCTACCTATCTACCTATCTATCTACCTATCTACCTGTCTGCCTATCTACCTATCTACCTATCTATCTATCTATCTACATATCTACCTGTCTGCCTACCTACCTACCTATCAATCTATCTACTTATCTGCTTATCTACTTATCTACTTATCTACTTATCTACTTATCTATCTATCTATCTATCTATCTATCTATCTATATATTTATCTATCTATCTATCTATCTTATCTAACCTAACCTAACCTAACCTACCCTACCTACCTACCTACCTATCTATCTAACCTAGCCTAGCCTAGCCTAATCTAATCTAATCTCTCTCTCTCTCTCTCTCTATCTATCTATCTATCTAACGTAACCTAACCTAACCTAATCTAATCCAATCCAATCTAATCCCTCTCTCTCTCTATCTATCTATCTAGCTATCTATCTATCTTATCTTATCTTATCTATCTTATCTATCTTATCTTATCTTATCTATCTTATATTATCTTATCTTATCTTATCATCATATTGTCTTATTATCTTATTATCTTATTATTTTATTATCTTATAATCTTATAATCTTATTATCTTATTATCTTATAATCTTATTATCTGATTATCTATCTATCTATCTACCTATCTATCTATCTATCTAATCTAACCTAACCTAACCTAACCTAATCTAATCTAATCTAATCTCTCTCTCTCTCTATCTATCTATCTATCTAATCTAACCTAATCTAACCTAACCTAACCTAATCTAATCTAATCTCTCTCTATCTATCTATCTATCCATCCATCCATCTATCTATCCATCTATCCATGTACGTATCTATCTATCCATTTCTCTATCTTTCTATCTTATCTATGTACATACATGTACGTATTAGCAAATATACGCATTAGAATGGAATTGACAACATCAAAATACGTACATTGGATCAGATCCGCAGACCGTTTCAGAACAACGGCACACATTGTCTTCTGTGATGGACTTACAGCTGACATGTTCTAACTCCAACGGTTTTTCCTCTCAGTATTGCCGCTCTATCCCTTTACAGTATGTCAAAAGTTATATGGGCGCTCAAAAATGGTTGTCCAAACAAGCTTCACATCATCTGATCTCCTTTTCTTCGATCTTTTATATCTTTTCTATCTGGGTGTATGTTCAGGCAGTTTCCGCTACAGTAGCGACCTACGGCATCCTACTGCCACCTACCTCTCTTGTGCTTCACTGTTTCCAGCTGGGCACTGCATGGCAGCATGGCAACATGTTGGCAACCAAATGCAGCTAAAGCCTAGAGCTGGCTGCTCCTTGCAATGTCACTTTGAGCAAGTCTTCGATTCATGTTGCCATCTCGTAGCAGCGCCTCAAAAGGCGATCTTTTGATCTGTGGAGTTGCAACAAGTGGGGCCTTTCGCTAAAGGATAAAGTGTATTTTCAACGTATGTCAACATCATCTTTATATCATCTTTCCATCATGTCAACATAATGTCAACATGAAATTCTAGTAAAAATGACTCATGACTCGCACGAGACACGGGTTGTTGTGGAGAATTAGAGACTTCAAACGCTTGTTTTCAAGACCAAAGGTCAAGCGCTAGCGCCGCGTCAACCGAAAACACAAGCTGAACATAGCTGAACTGAATAATTGAATTTCTTGCAAACCACACTGTGGTCAAACGATGTCAAACGTTTTGATGAAAAGTAAAAGGAGCCAAAGAATCGCCAAAGAGGAATCGGGCGATTCGTATCGATTAGTATCGATTGATTGCGTTGGGAAGAGCCCGGAGAGCCTGGTTTTTCTCAAAGAAGGTGATGTCAGTGAGTAAACCTCAGCATCGGCTAAAACGATCTAAAACGATAAAAAACGATCTACCACGATCTAATCAATGGATTCAGCTTTGTTCCAAAAGCTCTAACAGATCTAACAGGCTGTTGTTATGGTGCAGGAATAAAATATACCCGGCATGAATAAGGATAATAAGGACACTAGAATGATCTAGGATGATTTTAGGTATACCAGAGTGGACAAAAGCGAATCACAATGATCTGGCTGCCATAGCCCATCGGATTCAGATCGGAATCTACCGCACGCGACCAAGCGACTACTCCGGAAGCCATCGTAACCTCCGCTATAGATGAGCACAAGATTGCGCTGGATCTTCTGCAGTAGAGCCCTCAAATGCGATGCGAATCTTGATTGAGCCCTTTGTTGTAAAGTCATGTAAAGGCATTCATTCTATTCTCTCAAACAGCCATGGTCTTCCCTGTATTTCTTGGTCGTTCGAGTCGTTCTGGGTATCGGCGCAGTGCGTGGAAAACTGAATGGGTCATCTACTGTCATTGTGGCATCGCGGTGGGTTGTGGTGGCTGGGGGTCTCTGCCCCCTTGCCTCTTTGTCTGGTCTGAACAATGTATGTTTGGCAAAGTTGACGTTTCCTGGCACTTTGCACCTTATGCCTATGGTGACCAAGGTCACAGAAATGTCTTTGTCTTGGTATCTAACCTTGGAACTACACGTCCAGTACTACATGGGCTGACTTCTTCTTCGATAATTTTTGGAACTGTCAGGCTTTGAGAACACATGTCAAATCTGTGTTGTTGGACATTGTCCACCAGTGGCCCAGCTTGGATCTCAACTGAAATGGGAAACATCGGATATCATTGGATACACCAGGTGTCAAAATTGGCAAAATCATGTCACATCAAAGACTTTGACACGACCAGTGGACTCTGGATATTCTGGATGAGACGCTGGAGTCTGCCAAGCCACAAATTTGCTGCTGCCATGCTCATTTTGTATCCTGGAGTGGCTGGATTATCTGTGATTACTTTGGATTCCCATGGACTACCCCTGGCTGTTCCAACAAACTCCAGTGCCAGCAAGTCGTAAGGCAATCTACAACGGGCACATTCCTCTGAGGCATTTCTGTCCATCTAAGTATGTCCAAGGGAAGAAGGAGCGATGGTGTATCACTCAATCTTAAGTCCAAATTTCACTCCACTCCCACGACTTCAGAATTTAATGGCGCTTTTAGTGTGGACTATTGCGTACGGGTAATGACCCAAATGAGGCTCGCATCCAACAAGTTGTCAAAATCTGTTTGGTTTCCCTACGTAATTTTTTGGTGTCTCTGGTATCAATCTGGTCATATACGGTACGACGGGCGTCACATAGATCTTGCACCAATCTTGCATTCATGTCTGGGATGATCTTGCAATAAGCGGAAGAGTTTTTCCGCTGAATGTAGAAATGTTGAAGCATTTCAAGACAAGACCTTAGGAATATCCATCCTGTGCTCAATAGGCAAGTTGTTTTGTTCTTGTCGGAGGCCACGATGCATATTATTAAACTTCAGATAAACATCATCATACCATCCCTGAAACTCCCCACTGAAGTTTCCTGGCAAGGCTGGCACTTGCGCATATGCCATGTCTTGTGTGGCAGTTGAGAGCGCTTCCGCATAAGATGCAAAGTCAGCAGATTTGGCTACCACTCTGTTCAGCACCTTTGAAGTCACACATCCACAAGTTTCGCTCAAACCAACCCATCTGAACGTTGCAAAGCAGTTTGAAAGTTTGAAACCGGGCAGTGACCATCTTCAACGCACCGTGTTTTACCAATTTGCTCCTAGCCTTGAATCTCCTTGATACGTTTTGAATCAACGTGAATCAATGTTGCTCTGCTTCGCAGCATTTCGCAGCTCCCAAGGCCAAGGAACATCCAGTGTCGCGGGTCCAGCAAAATCAGCTCCCAGCCTTGGCGTCCGCAGAAAAAAAATAGGGTCAAAACCCCGGGAACACATTTCTGTTTTGATCTGTTTAAGATCTGTTTAGATCTGTTTAGCACATGTCTGTTTCTCAAAACAAACCAGTGGAAATGTCCAGTCTACTAGTCTACTGTATATGACTGGGAAGATGCAATTTCGTAAACGCAATCTTTGTATGTCGTGCTAGGCGCCACAGGGGCTATGGCGCTGACCATTGAGGTCCTGACCCGGTCCAAATGTCACTGAGATTGAAGAGTTTCCAGGAGATCGGTTCTGACGGTGGTGGATGCGCTGGCAACCCTCCGAATTTGTAGTCTTCGAAGATCTTGTTCATCGCCTGGTATAGAGCATGATGAAGAGAACTCAAGGAGTTTCAACATCTAAGGATCTGTGCATTGTTGGAAGGACAGCCTTACAGCATGTCACAACATGTCACAGCCGTTCACAGCCTATATAATCATGCATAATTCAAACTTAAATATCGGCGAAGGAAGTTTAGAAGTCAAACTTCCGACAATATGGACAGATGAAAAGCAGAGATGGGCAGAGTCAGAGAGGAGAGAAGAGTAGAAGAGAGAAGATCAGGGAAGAGAAAGAGTCAGAAGAAAGAAGATGCAGGTGCGCGAAAAGGCAGGAAAGTCGCGAAACACTGTGTTTTTCCAATGATTTGTGGCTCCGGAGGGTCGAAAAGTAGGCTCGCTAAAGCGGCGGGTGCGGAGCTTGCATTTTGGAGCATCAGATCTTGAGGTTTGCTAAGATGATTTTGCATGGCAGGTGCAGCTCTTCGTATGACCTGGCGTTACTTTTTCGTGGCAGGCGCAGTACTTTAGACAGGTGGAGTGGAAAAATCGCAAAACGCATTGGCACGAGGCCGGAAGCGCTGCACTAAACTTTCCATTTTTGAAGGAGGTCTCGCAGAATTGCTTTGTTTTTAAAGTTGTCAAGTTCAAAAATTGAAGAAGTCTCGCAGAATTGCTTCGTTTTGGATGTTGTCAAGTTCAAAAAATGAAGAAGTCTCGCAGAATTGTTTCGTTTTTGACGTTGTCAAGTTCAAACATTGAGGAAGTCTCATAGAATTGCTCCGTTTTTGATGTTGTCAAGTTCAAAACCTGAGGACGTCTCGCAGAATAGTTTCATTTTCAAGCTTGCAGATAGACAGGTAGATAGACAGACAGACAGATAGAGAGAGAGAGAGAGATAGATAGATCGATCGATAGATAGGTAGGTAGATAGATAGACAGATAGATGGATGGATGGATGGATAGATAGGTAGGTAGGTAGGTATGTAGATAATCAGGGAAAGAGAGAAAAATATAGAGAAAGAGTCAGAGAGATCAATCACCTTTCGATCCATCAGTGGCTTTGCTCTGCCATCCCTGATTCACAACAACCAACCTCTCCTATAGGTTTCCTATTTTTGAAACTTCCGCCACCACCTTGTGCGGTACTACTGGTAATATATCATAATCCTATTCTATGACTTCTATGACTTCTATGACTTCTATGGCCATGGGTGGCCATGGCTAGCCTGTGTTCCGGTTTCGAGTCGAGCAGAGGAGTTTCGCGGAGTGAATTCGGGTGGCAGCTGGGTGCAGAACACGCCAATGAGTTCACCCGCCCGTCGCACGCCGGTCGACAAGAATGAGGCCAGAGCTCCGTAGCCTTAACCGGCTACGACACATCACCGTATACCACCGTACCGGGAGTTGAAAAGACATGAAACCCCAAACTTGAGCTGAAATCCATGTTGGGGGGCCAACCTAAGCTAGATGGTATGGGACCTCACTTCATTCAATTGGCGAGGAAATTGTGGTGATCCAAGAATTCTGCTACTAATTCAGTGCACAGTCTCATCCCATCTTCTCCCCACATTTCAGCCCTCCTCTGAGACATGTTCATATCAAGCTGAATGCTGGCAGCAAATACTGCCAAACAGATGCACGTCTGGAAAACACCCTAACCTCATGTGAGAATGAAATAGATCCCAGGCAACGCTGCTGATCTTGATCTTTTATGATATTTTCACATATATTATATTATACTATATTATATTATTGTATCTTCTCATCTTCTCCAACTTTCTCCATTCTGTCCAAGCCGCTGGGTCCATAAGGCTCCCAGTCAATGATATTAATTCCATCTGGGTTTGCCACAGCTGCGCGGAATGCCTTGCCTAGTCCACTGTCCTTCCGTTCTCCTGGTCCATCTGCCAGAAAGTTTGTGGCATAGTCCAACTCCTGCACAGCTGTTTCGTGGTCGTGGTCATGGCGTAAGAAACATGTCTCCTCTTCCAATGTGCGATGCTATGCTGTAGCTATGCTATGCTGCCAAGTAATGCCAAGTATGTATTGCGATGATTTGCGATGTGTGTTCTGATTGTTGCTGTGTTCTGAAGTTCTGATCTCCTTGTAGACAGAGTATATGAGGTTGCCGCCGAGGTCAAAGAAGAAAATATCATAGTAGTTACGGGCATAGAGAATGTCGCGATACCTGGTGGAATATGGTGGAATCGGAGCCGTTCAGCTCCACAAGCTCCACATGCACGGATTGGGTGGCTATCCCTCTACGAAAATCCACCACATACACCCGTTACACCCGTTACACCCGTTACACTCCTGCATAAATCATCATAAATCCCTTCCCGTCCACCAGACTCAGATAAGTTTTCAATAGTTTTCACACTGCCAATTGCAATCTGCACGGCAACTTGATTGAGTTTGACTTGAGAGGTGCTTGCAACTTGATTGCGTGCTCCTTTCATGAGCCCAACCTGTTGCATCTTCGCAAAACTCAGGGCCATAGTGGCACAGCAAAGCTTGGTCTAAAGTGTAGATATCACTGGATAGGTTTAAGGGAGGATTTACAGGAACACCCTGTACTTGCTGGTAAAAACCATGGTTTCCTGTACGTTTTCCCTGAAACCAATCTAATTAATTATAGAACATGTGATATCCTGTCCTCACTGCATCTTTACTAGGATCACATCATTGAAGTGCGAGGCATGCGGGATAAAGTCCCGCTTTTCATGTGAACACCCCAGAAACTGAGCAAATGAGTGTCCCATGAAAAGTCACATGAAGTACAAAAAAACTGGTCTTATGTTCACTCACAGTCGTCTAGAGCAGCCCGACGGCCCGACCCCATCAATTTTGAGACCAGTCGTAAGCATACAAATCACAACAGTTCACAACCGTATGAGTCAGTCAGGTCGGGAAACTCCAGTGATGCTGAGATATGTTTTGCAGAACATTACCGAAGGTTCTGAACTCACTGAGTCACAACTTGGTCACTTTGGTTTAGAGCAGGGTTGCGTTGGATGGTATTGCTTGTGCACAAGATGATATTGCTCAGGACCACTTGCGCGGTCAAGTTTGTCTTTTTCACCTGCACGAAGCAAACAAAGTGTTCAGAGTCCTGTGTGTCCTCTACCCTATTTTCACCGTATCCACCTGGCGTGACTGCATAATCTGCATGTCTGTCTCACTGAGTGGCACGTTTTCTTGAGTCCAAGCCTTATAATATTGAACCTGAGTCCTTTGGAAGCAAAGTGCTGACATTTGTGCAGTTCTCATGGTTCTAAGCACGGCCGCAACACATGAGAACACCAAAAAGAACGAGAACACATAAAGGATCATAAAGGGCTGTGTGCGACACTCACTCTGAATTAGGCCAGGTCCGCGTCATGTTCCCAACCCAATTTAACGCTTTATGTTGATTTCAGTTGCAAGATATTTCACTGCGGCTTTTGAAAGTATCTTTTGGTGAAGGAGAGTCGGGGCCCCGGAAATGCTCAGCTTGCCACCTAGCCGGACCTAGCCTGTAGGGAAGGGATTCAGCAGGATGTAGGCAATTTGCAGACTGAGAAGTCTCTCGGCGTCTGTCGCCCGGTAAGCCTTGAACACAGTTTGCCACAGAAGTGACAACGTTTGGCTGTGGTGGGTGAGCAATAGGAAAGTCAAGTCAAATGAGTGCTTGGTGCTTTCCAAAGGTTGGTCTGTTAAACTTTAAATTAATTTAAAGAGTTGAATCGAAACTGAACCTCCTTTTAATGCAGCACTTCTGCAGCACTGATGTCATGTTGGCATATTCAGACGTCGCAGAAGTCACAACCATTCTTCTACATTCTCAGATTTGAAGAATCTGCTTGGAATCTGTCTGGTGCAATGATCGTATTTGTTGAGCTTAGCGGCATCCCAGGCTTGCTTGAAGCTCCACAATGCGTCTGCCAATGCCGGTTTTCCTGCTTCAATCACCAGAAATCCTTTGTGCCTTGGCGTCCGACTCCAACTCTCCCAGTAGTGCCCGGGGGGACGCGCGGCATGCCACATGGATCCACAGGGTTTCTTCAAAAGTTGATACATGTCGATACATTGACATGTTGAGATACATGTTTATTTATTTTATTTACTGTAGATTCACACATATTCATATGTATATGACTGTATATGTAATTATATGATCATACATAATGATCATATGTGGCATAAATGGCTTTCCCTAAACCAATGCAGCCCGCACTGCACCCTGCGTGTCCAAGTTGCTCTTCCAAGCCCATCGCTGAATTGTTCAGCCAAGTCTGCGAGTATCCATGCGTTAGAAGTGCGAACTCCATTTGGGCTTGGTAAAGCCTAAGATTTTCGAGTCTTTCCACTCCGCAAGGAGCATCAATACTTGGCTTGGATTCTTTTTTTACCACTGTCAAGAACCACTGCGTTAGAAAGTCATTGTGTGCCAAGGGAAAGCTAAGTCATGGATGCTCTAACATGCTCTAACATATTCCAACTGTGAACATCTAGACTCATGTGCTCCAAGCTTCCTGTTCTTTCTTTGATGTTGGGGGTCTGAATTGTTGTGTGCTGCTTTGCATGAGTCAATGTATGCCTTTGTATGCTGCAAAAAACTGAGTATTTATTGTGGGCTCGCGTACATGCACGAGTGCACCTCACCCATGCTCTTTTCACCACCCTCCTTTCACATCTTTCACCTGCGATGTACAAATCGCTTCTAGTCCTGCGATTTCCCTTAACGCGGCATCTCTCGGGTGTGCAGTTTTCCAACGCCTAAGGCCTCGTAGACACACAGAATCATTCAGATCATCCAGGAGGAAGTTTTATAAAATTTTGCTCGACCCCAAAACCACTCCAAACCTGGCATCGAAAAACATCACCTGAAATCCCAACATGTTCAAAGCTCTCCATATCCGGTTTGCTAAAACTTCAACTCTTGAGGCAACCCTTCATTCTCCACCAGTCACATAAATGCAACATGTTGGGTTTGCCGGGGGGGTTTGCCGTGAGTCGGAATGAGTTTGCAAGAAGGGTAACATATGTTAAGATCATGTATGTCCATCCGCAGCCGTTTAGTAGGAGGAAATTTCATGGTATTTTCAGTGTTTTTCATTGGTTTCACATTAGCATTTGCAAGATGTTTGCATGATAAGGGATGATTGTCTGAACCAGGTTCATGTTTTGCGAACAATATTTTTTCGCGGGATCCCGCGGAAAAATTAGCAGGATTTTTGAACTTGTGATTTGTTGGAAAGAGAAATAAAGTTGTGTGTTTTATTGGAACAGCATAATTAGATTTCCTTCGGAGCCATGTTGAGTTTCGATGAATTGTTCGAATGTTTGGTGCTATTGTTCGATGAATTGTTTGAACCTTATTACTCCCCCCCC